ACTGAAGGTGTAACCCTGTGACGAACGCTGAGTCGTCTGGTCGTCGGCCCAAGAAGCGTCAGAGTGTCCTGTGAGGACCACCGAACCCCGTCCTCCAAGCACGAGCCCCATGCCCGATGTGCTGCACAAGTAACGCAGTACCCTCTTCGCAGCATCAAAGTGCACCTTTCGGTGTCGACCAGGTGCCACGTAGCGAGCCAGGAGGCTGAGAGGGTACGCGAGGTCAGGTCGTGTGCACGTCATCAGGTACATGAGGCAACCCACAAGCTCTGGGTACGGACCACTCGGCTCTACGGACTCGTCCGAAGGTGGAGCTGAGAGCGAGTGGCCGGTAGACAGAGGAGTGGGCTGTGGCGAGGACCAAGTGAAGCGGAAGCGCTGAAGGACCTGGTGCACCATGTGTGACTGAGTGAGGGTGATGGTGCGCCGTGGTCTGTCCCGGGTGATCTGCAAGCCAAGATAGCTCCGCAGCTCACCCAGGTCAGTGCAGGTGTGTCTCTCCTGCAGCTCCGCCTTCACTAGGGCCAGTGCCTCAGTGTCAGCAGTAGCAAAAACCAAGTCGTCGACGTACACGAGGATGTAGAACGGCGGCAGAGTAGTGTCGGTGCGTAGAAACAGCGACGGGTCAGCAGTCGAAGGAGCAAACCCAAGAGCCGCAAGTGTCGTCCTCAGTGTGTCGTGCCACTCACGGGGCGCCTGACGCAGGCCGTACACTGGTCGCCGTAGGCTCCACTGGGTACCTTCAGGAAACGACCCAGTGAAGCCCTGTGGACGGCGCAACCAGATGGCCTCGTGAAGGCTACCCTGCAAGAAAGCTGTCGAGAAGTCGAGGGAGTGCAGCTCGTAGTCACGCTGAGCTGCAACGTGTAGCAACACCCGAAGAGTGGTCATCTTCGGGGTGGGGGAGAAGGTCTGAAAGAAGTCGACCCCCTCACGCTGACTGAAGCCTCGAGCAACGTAACGTGCCTTGAACGCAGGCGGAGAACCCGGCGGCCGCTTCACCCTGAAAATCCACATGCCACTGACGATGTTCGCCCCAGGTGGGGGAACCTCGTCGACGTAGGTGCCTGTGGACTTCGAGGAAGCCATCTCTGCGTCCATGGCTGTCTGCCACTGAGAGGAGTACTCACCCGAAATCGCCTCCCTGTAGGAGCGCGGGGTGGGGATGTCAAGTGCATCCGGGTCTCCCTCAGGGGCAAGCAACATGGTCGCGTGATGGGGTGAAGCGGCAGCAAGGCACTCCAGCTCCTCCTGTCTGTCCTCAAGAACGTCACAGCCAAGGGCAGTACAGCCAAGAGCAGTCTCACAGGCAGGGACAGGGTCAGAGACAAGACTCGCAAGGTAGTCTAGGCGGTACACAGCAGCAAAGTCAACAAGCTCAGCTACTAGGGCAGACGCAGCAGGAGACGAGAACGTAGGGTCCGTCACAACCGTAGCAAGAAGGCGAGTAACAGTCGGACTGGACGCACGAGCAAGGTCAGACGGAGGGTCAGCAACGTCAGGCAGAGAGGACGCAGGAGGTAACGGTAGTACAACACGCTGAGGAACAGAGGAAGGATGGAGCGTCATATCGTGAGTGCCGGGGACAGCCGGATCACGCGGACGACGAACACGAGGAACACGAGCACGGACAGCAGCTCTAGGCTCAGGCTCAAGGTCAAAGCTAGACTCAGGCTCTCGACGCTCAGGGGTGGAAGCACGAGTCTCAGGCTCTCGACGCTCAGTCAGGGACTCTGACACCGCAGTGTAAGGAGCAGGAGCAGGCAGTGGGGAGTGTGGTAGCAGCGGTGGCTGTGACTGGTCCGCTGGCGGACACAGCAACGGAGGAGTAGTACCTGCCACAGGGAAGCCAGTAGCACCTGGCGGAAGACTGAGAAGGTGGCGAAGAGCACCAGTAGCTCCCGTACCTCCAGCACGAGCAGCTCCTCCAGTACCCCCAGCAAGACCTCCAGCACCAGTAGCACCAGCACCTCCAGTACCATGAGCTCCGACAGCGCCAGCACCTCGAGCACCAGTAGTACCTCCAGCACCTCCAGTGCCTCCAGCTTCAGCTCCAGCGCCTCCAGCACCAGTAGTACCTCCAGTACCTTCTGTGCCTGCAGCTCCAGTAGCACCTCCTGCACCTCCAGCACCAGCAGTACCACCTGCTCCGGCAGCTCCAGCACCTCCAGTACGAGCACCTCCGGGACCAGTAGCTCCAGCACCTCCAGGGTCAGCAGCTCCCGCAGCTCCAGCACCAGGAGCACCAGCACCTCCAGTGCCACCAGCTCCAGTACCTCCAGCACCGGCAGCAGCTCCAGTACCCCCAGCACTAGCAGCTCCAGTACCTCCTGCACCAGCAGCACCTCTAGTACCTCCATTAGTACCTCCAGCACCTCCAGCAGTACCTCCAGCACCTCCAGCACCAGCAGCACCTCCTGGACTAGTAGCTCCAGCACCAGCAGGACCGTACCCTCCACCACCAGGACTGCCTCGCAGAACGACCCACGCACGAATCGCCTGCGGCGAGAGCGTCTCAAGTAGAGCAGGCTGCGGTGGCTGTCCAGCTCCAGTACCTCTAGTAGTGGTAGCTCTAGCACCTCCAGCACCAGAAGCACCTCTAGTACCTCCAGCTCCAGCACCTCTAGCACCAGCAGCAGCTCCAGTACCTCCAGCACCAGGACCTCCAGAAGGACTCGCTGCACCCCCAGAGTCAGCACCCGAAGTCTCAGCACCCCCAGAGTCAGCACCCAAAGTCTCAGTACCCTCAGTCCCAGCACCCTCAGGCTCAGCACCCTCAGTCCTAGCACCCTCAGTCTCAGCACCCTCAGTCTCAGCACCCTCAGTCCCAGCACCCTCAGTCCCAGCACCCTCAGGCTCAGTACCCTCAGTCCCAGCACCCTCAGTCCCAGCACCCTCAGTCTCTGCTCCAGTGTCCACAACAGTAGGCTGCAGAGGCGGCGAAGACGGCAGAGGTGGGAACCCAGGGGGGGGTAGCCAGACGAGGAGAGCGGGCACCCCCAGACTCACCACCCCCAGCCCCCGCTCCAGTAGTCTCAGCTCCAGAGTCCACAGCAGCAGGCTGCGGAGGCGGCGAAGACGGCCGTGGCGGGAAACCCGGGGGGGTCGCCAAGCGAGGAGTGTGGCGAGTGGTCGCCGTGTCGTCGGCGACGGCGTCACCCCCCTCAGGTGAGTCAGAGGAGTCAAAAGAGATCTCAACTGGCTCATCCAAGGGGGGTGGGTCTACCTGGGACACACCTGAAGGAGCAGGACCCTGTGGGGGGAGGGGGTCTACCGGGGGGGGGACTGGTACCAGGAAGAGGGGTGCAAGGGGGACCGGGTGGGACGCGTGCGGGTGAAGTCGGTAGTAACAGACCGACTCGTCGAAGGTGACGTCCTGAGAGGACAGAACACGACGCGAGGCAGGGTGGTACTGCCAGGGTGGAGCGTCGGTGGGGAAGCCCAGGAAGACACAGCGGAGAGTCCAGGGGCGACGCGCGGGCTGCAGGGTCCGCGAGGACGGGCTGCAGAGGCGGCGCGCGGGCTCCAGGGGCGACGCGCGGGCTGGCTGCAGAGGCGACGCGCGGCTGCAGGGGCAGCGTGAACGGGCTGCAGGGGCAGCGTACGGGCTGGAGGAGCAGCGCGCGGGCCACAGGGGCAGGCGCGGCTGCAGGGGCAGCACGGTAGCAGGGGCGAGCACGGCTGCAAGGGGCAGCACGGTCGTAGGGGCGAGCACGGCTGCAGGGGCAGCGCGGTCGCAGGGCCAGCGCACGAGCTGCAAGGGTCGCGACAGTGAGAGCTAGGGGCGCCAGCGCGCTGGCTACTGTGTAGGGCGTGGCGCTACCACTAGGCGGAACGGTGGGCCCATGTAGGAACGGTTCCTACTCTGATACCATGTCAAGAATACAACTAGGAATGATGGATTGGACTAGGCAAGAGGTGAGTACAAATAGGGGAAACCTAACCCTAAAGTGTTGTACTCACTAAGGAGTGACCCTACTATAGCCTAGAGATACAATTGTAATCTGACACTCGAATCAAGCAAAATATCGCACGTGCATCGGTCTTTCAGATCTCGTTAACATGAACTCCTTTGCCACTGCATGCAAAACAGTCATTCTAGTTTTGGTCATAAATGTAACTCGCAATATAGCACATGGGTGCTATACGACTTATCCTCAAATAGTGCACCCATTGCCATTTTTTCGAGAGTTTTAACACAGCACCCGGGGTAGCATATACGGGGGATTACGGTAACCTGTTGCTCTTGTCTTTCTGTCGACCGCTTTGGTTGACTCGCTGTTACTGCGCTGTTGTTCGCTTCGCTTACGTTGTAGTGCTCGACACATCAGAAGCGCGAACTATATGTTTCCAACAAAACATGCCTTCTGTTCTGATTGTATTTAAGTGGTGCATATACCGTATGCCAAGTATCTATATCAATGGACAATGGTTCCCGCATCCTGGGCTGTGTGCATGCAGGAGCAGCCCAAACAAGCCCGCAACCGTCTTCCTCTCCCTTGACATATTTGCAACAGCGACTGAACTACCCGGACCCGGACCATGGAAATACAAGCAGGATGGGCGGTGCTGAATGTGGGACGATGCCTTAACAAGCACAAACACCGGTCTGCCGTCAACTCACTTTGTACAAACAAGTCCCCTACCCCCCAACCAAGCAGCATTCCTCTGTACAAACAAGTCCCCTACCCCCCAACCAAGCAGCATTCCTCTATACAAACAAGTCCCCTACCCCCCACCCAAGCAGCATTCCTCTGTACAAACAAGTCCCCTACCCCCCACCCAAGGAGCATTCCTCTGTACAAACAAGTCCCCTACCCCCCACCCAAGCAGCATTCCTCTGTACAAACAATTCCCCTACCCCCCACCCAAGCAGCATTCCTCTGTACAAACAAGTCCCTGCCATCCTGCACCACCACCTACGGTAATTCAATCACCACACCACTCCCTCCCCTTTTTCACCCACATCCCCATCCAATGCCGGCAATTCCGCACCGTCATCAGTAGATGTCGTGCGGCACGACCATCTCAGACACCGCATGGATCGTAAACTGCGACCCGTTGAACAGATTCGGCATCACAATCGGCACGGGCGCCCCGCCCTTGCCCTTCACGGCCACCAGCAGCCCGCCCTTGCGCCCTCGCTTCACCAGGCTCGTGCCCTCCAGTGTTCTCAGTCGCCGCCCGCGCGGCTGGTAGCTCAGGCGGCGGAAGTCGTGGCGGCCTTGGAGGATGTGGTAGGCGATGCGCTGCTGCTGCTTCTGCGAGGAGAAGGCCGCCATGAAGAAGCGGATGGTGCGCGCGTGCAGCGGTAGTAGGATGGTCACTCCGTTTAGTGGGATGAGTGATGTTACTGTGAAAGACGAGGGAGGTGCGGGGGGAAGAAGGGAGGAAAGGCACGTGGGATTCGCTGAATGGCGAGAGCGAAGCTTGAGTGCACGGGCCCTCATGGTTGCTGGGACAGTGAAGGCGAACGCAGTGATAGCAAATCAAGAGGCGCACTTTCGGCGACTGGGGTGGCGGCCAGGGAAAGGACTCAAGGAAGCTTCCGCTGGAGTTCCGGTAGCAAGGAGAAGGACTCTGAAAGGAAAACTGAAAGACATGAGGAACCAAAACAACGGCATTTGGGCCAGTTGCGGGATTTGTGCGTCCACGACACCGTACCCTACGACGTACCCCATGGCGTCAATGCTACCGCTACGGCAAACACAGCGAGCGCCGCATTCCTGCTTATGAAACCCCCCGCCCAGCGACGCCGCCCAACCCTAATTGCGAGTTTTGAGTCGACTCAAAACGCGCCGGGAATTTTTGCTTATGACACCCTCCCCCCCCTCCCCCCCCCCACCCCTAATCGAGTTTTGCAAAGAAAAACTAGAACGCCCTGCCACCCATCATCCCGCCAGGGGCCGTACGTAAGAGGTCTATGACATCGGTGATGGGTCCGAATATCCGCATCTTCTTCAGCTGCTTCTTGGCTTGCTGAATCTCCTTCGCCATCTTCGTCGATATGCCCGGCTGCTGCGCGTGTGAGGAGGGCAGAAAGGAGACGAGGAGCGAGAGGAGGACGAGCGCGACTAGCACGTGATGTGGATGATATATTAATCGAGAGACGACGCGACGAGCCATCGTAGCTTGGCTAGTGGACGATTTAGTAACGGGTGATGGTTGGAACGGTTGTTTAAAATTCTCTAAAACCGGCAGGGACGACTTAGTAACTACTAATGGTACATCAAAAAAATCCTGCTAGTTCTGTCAAACACATTATTTCGCAACCATTCAGGTTGCTTAGACAGAACTAATTCTGATTGATGGTTAGCCAAACACAGCCCGAAGGGGACCCCCGTGAGTCATCTGAGGGGGGTGGGGGGGGGGGGGGGGGTTGGGTGGAATGCAAAACTTCAGGTTTCGTGCTAGTTCTGTCGGTGCCAAGGGCGCGTCACGATTGCAACATCAATCTTGTAGGGGATCGGTGTGTGGGTGTACAGAAGTTCGCAATTTTGTGTACAGTAGTTCGCAATTTTTTGCCACACCCAGAAGTACCGAGTCGGGTGGCAAATTGTCACCAGTTTCACGTGATCGGCTACCGAAGTACAGACTGCGTCGCGAATTACACAGGAACGAGTCTGGTTAACGCATGAGCAATTTGGTGACGAAATCATTTTCGGTTCGATTTCTACACTTCGCCTATGGCGATCGATCGCGCCTATAACCTCTGGCGCGGTTTTCTCTTTCTGCACACAAAAGCGCAAGGCAGGTGCGTGCACGTAGGCACATCGATCGTCAATGTCGGAGGTGACACGATCGTGTGGGCCATTTTACTGTGCATTCGTAAACGTTGCCGCAATAAGTAACCTTGTGTTGCGAAGCTACAGTAGTTCTGTACACCCCCTAGATCGAACCTGCGTAGGATCGAACGCGGGGAGGTGACGCGTCCTAGTGGAGTGCGTCCATGTTCGAATCGCGTCTAACTCGTTTTTCCGTACCCGAACCTCAGGCATAGACAAGTCCTAAGAAACAACCCTAATTCCAGGGATTCTTCTCACGCACAAAACGACAGGCAACGAAGATTCTGGGTTGGCCGCGTCGCCGCTGTTCCGTTGTGTCGAAACCCAGTGAGCTGCGTCGCAGCCTGTCGCGCCACGTCGCATCCCTTGCGTCCTTACCTCGCGTGGCTTCCGGCGACCACCTGTGCGACCTGCGACGAGGCGTCGCCCAGTGTGCGATGGACCCCACTCAGAGAAGCGCCATCGTCCTAGATAATGGATCCGGGTAACCCCTTTCGCCATCCCTTTCGCGCTCAGGCTCCCCACTTCCCTTCCTCCCTCGCCACTTGATAAACCGCGACTCTGTATCGTAATGGCCTCTTCAGTCGCCACGCCCCTCCATTCCTCCATGTCGTTCACCCCACTCCTGCTCTGCTCCTCCTCTCCATCCGTCTCCTCTTCACACCTCCTGCACGATGGGGTTTGAAGGTAATCCAGGGCCCAGCATCGTCATACTCACACAGCGGTCACGCCACAGCTCATGCGAATCCTGTTCCTGTCACTCTGTTGTTCACCCCAACCCCCTTCCCGCTCTAGGTTCACGAAGATGGGCTTTGCCTGAAACCTAGACCCCAGCTTCGTAATCCCCACGGCAGCCGCCTGCCACGACTCCTCTGCATCCCACTCTTGCTCCTCCTCTCCTCCCTTACCTTCCCAGGTTCACCAAGATGGGCTTTGGCGGCAATCTAGAGCCCAGCTTTGTAATCCCCACAGTCGTTGCTTGTCATGACCCATTCGCCGTCTCTGCTGCACTAGCGGTGCCTGGAGCCAATGCCGTGTCGCCAGCTCAGCAGCAGCAGCAGGCCCACGTGGCAGCGCTCATGGCTGACCTGGACGTCCACGTGGGCGAGGCGGCGTACGCTGCTGCGCGATCTGGGCCGTACAAGCTGACGCACCCTATGCAGAGAGGACAGGTGGGTGGAAAGGGGTGCATGTGGGTGGAGAGGGGTGCAGTTGGGCGGAGAGGGATGCAGGTGGGTGGAGTGGAATGGGGAAAGTGACACAACATCCAAGCTTTTGATTGGTTTGGCCCATTCAATCTGACACATCTCGTGTAGCAGAGGGGACATACCAGTGGGTGGAGGTGAATGGGGTGAGAATCATCAAGGCAACGTTTAATCTGGGCCCCGTATGTAAACGCTGACGCTTCCAGTGCAGAGTGGACAGATGGGTGGAGAGCGGTGCGGGTGGGTCTAGAGGGCCGAACTGGGCCGTGATTCACACAATCAGCAGCGTAGATGTGTGGAAAGGGGAGAGGTGGGTGCAGGGAGGAGAGAGTGCACATCCTTCCACCACACAGGGGCGGCCCGCCATGGGGCATCTGTGGCAGCAGAAGGCATGATGATTTCTGTCTATCCCTGTGTGATGTTTCCTTCCCGTGTATGCCTCATCCCTTTTTTCCCACGATGTTTCCTTCCCGTGTATGCCTCATCCCTTTTTTCCCACCGCCAGATAGAAGCATGGGACGCCATGGAGCATCTGTGGCAGCAGAGCCTGTTCAAGTACATGCGGGTGGAACCCGAGGAGCATGTGCTGCTGCTGGCCGAGAGCCCTCTCACCCCACCCGAACACCGAGAATACATCGCCGAAATCATGTTTGAAACGTGAGTGGGTGCAGTGCGGTGCAGTCAGGTGAGAGCAGAGAAGTCTGTGGTGCCTGCTCATTCAGGTGGAGTTGGATTGGAGGAGCATGTGCTGCTGCTGGCCGACAGCCCTCTCACCCTACCCGAACACCGAGAATGCATCGCTGAAATCATGTTCGAAACGTGAGTGTGTGGGACACGAGTGCAGTGCATTGGGAGCAGAGAGGGCTGTTATGCCATGCTGAGAGCTCTCTCTCCCCGCCCGAGCACCGAGAGGGCTCTCAGCTAGCAGCAGAGAGGGCTGTTATGGCATGCAGAGAGGGCTGTTATGGCATGCAGAGAGGGCTATTATGGCATGCAGAGAGGGCTGTTATGGCATGCAGAGAGGGCTGTTATGGCATGCAGAGAGGGCTGTTATGGCATGCAGAGAGGGCTGTTATGGCATGCAGAGAGGGCTGTTATGGCATGCAGAGAGGGCTGTTATGGCATGCAGAGAGGGCTGTTATGGCATGCAGAGAGGGCTGTTATGGCACTGCTGCCGCTGGCTGACAGCCCTCTCTCCCCGCCCGAGCACCGAGGGTACAATGCATTGCAATCATGTTTGAAACGTGAGTGAGGAAACCCCCTTTTCCACCCCCTCCATCGTCTCCACCCCCTCCATCGTCTCCACCCCCTCCATCGTCTCCACCCCCTCCATCGTCTCCACTCACACAACCGGATCACCGAGAGTTCATCACCGAGAGTTCATCACCGAGAGTTCATTGCCGAAATCATGTTTGATAAAAGCGTGGGTGCAAAGGGCCCTCGTCTCCTCTTTCCCATCTGTGTGCTCTGATTTGTCCGCGTCTATCTTCCCTTCCACCTCTCTTCCCCTTCCCCGTGCCTCATGTTTCCTGCATGTTCGTTGTAGCAGCGTTTTACATGGGCAGTCAAGTCAACGCTATGCCCTTACCTCTTCCATCCCGCCCCTCTGTCCCCTTCCCTTTCCCCTTGCCTCACGCTGTGGATGCAGGTTCAACGTGGCAGGTCTGTACATGGCCAGTCTACCCTGTGCCCTTACTTCTTCGATCCCACCCCTCTGTCCCCTTCCCCTTGCCTCACTCACGCTGTGGATGCAGGTTCAACGTGGCAGGTCTGTACATGGCCAGTCTACCCTGTGCCCTTACTTCTTCGATCCCACCCCTCTGTCCCCTTCCCCTTGGCTCACGAAATTTGAAGAAAAACAGTCGTGAATTGTGTAACGACGCTATAGTGTCTTTAACAAGGCTACAGTACTTCGGGAAATTCAAAACACTGAAAGAAATGGGAAAAATATGCCACTCGTAATCAACAAGGGTCTCGATAATATGTTTGGTGAAAAAATAACGGGTACGGTCACTGCAGAGGGTGTTTTCACGTGTTTGATAAAACGTTTCACGGAACCAGTCACAATCAACTGGAAAAAATAACGCGAATGGTCAAAGATGAAACTCCCGTCCGAAAAAAGATAATACCCAAAACGAACATGGAAGCATTTTCGGATGAATCAACCCTTAACACAACTCGCCAGGTGTTTAGGGTTGATCCCTTCACAAACCGCATCCGATTCCGATAGGGTTATAGTTTTTTTTAGAAGTCAGCTGATTGGTTGGGCGCGAGCGGGAATTTTGTAGAGTTTCAAGATTTTTTTGCGAGAGTTTGTTACAAGTGCAATTGAGTGAGCGAGCGAGAATTGCACTATCGAAAAAAGTACAATGAGCGAAGGCATGAGCGAAGAATATGTAGCGACGGGCCTAACGCCGAGGTTGGGAAAATGTCGAGGCGGAGGTCCGGAGGGCATGTTACCAACCGAACCGTGAGGTTGGGTCGCGGTGGAAACAGTGTCGACGCGAGTGGTAACGGTTTACTGTTGGGTGTTGTTGGCGGGAATAGTGGTGTACGCGCTGAGCAGGGACGCGAAGTAAGGAAAAGGAAATTTCCTTACACTACCCCCACCCCCCCCCCCCCCCCTTAAGGAGGTCCTCCTTACGAAAGCGCGTGTACGTCCCGGAAATTTTGGCTGCGGAGATACTCCGTTAGGACAGGGTGGCTTTCAATTTTGTCCAGGGGAACCCAGTTGTCTTCCGTGGGCGTGCGGTCTTTCCAGCGGATCAGAAATTCGATCCTGCGAGCTCCCCGTGGGTCACGAACTCGGTGGCTCAAAATCTTTTCGGGAGTGATGATTGGCTCCGTTGGCGGTCGTGTCATGCTGGCGGGGCGGTTGCGAGGTAGTTGGCTAGTGGATGGTACGTATCGGCGGAGCAGGCTGACGTGGAAGGACGGGCTGACGTACCAGTCAGCAGGGAGGTGGAGGTGGGCGGTGACGGGTGTGATCATGTGGCTGATGCGAAATGGCCCGTAGTATCGGGGGCGGAGTTTCGGGGTGATGGGTAGGCGGAGGTTTTGGGTGTCGAGTAAAACTAGGTCGTCGGGCTGGTAAGTGACTGGTCCGCGGTGGCGGTCGGCGTTGCGTTTAGCGATGACGTTGGCCTCTTTAATTGCATCGGTTGCCCGGGTCCGTGCTGCCTGTAAGATTTCTGCAAACTGTTGCGCACGTGGTACTGGATTCTCGGGATTCGGGGTCATGGGCACTGTAGGGTCTTGTCCGTGGTTCAGGTAAAACGGTGACTGTTGGGCCGTGGCGGATGGCGAGTTGTTGTGCACGAATTCGATCAGTGGCAGATGTTGTTCCCAGGTGGTTGGATCGTCGCACGTGGCTCGGATGAGTCGCTCCATGGTCTGGTTTGTCCGTCAGTTTCGGGGTGGTATGAAGAACTGAACTGTAGTCACGTGCTGAACTGCTGCTGCAGGTTCCGCCAGAAATTGCTGGTAAACTTCGTGTCTCGATCGCTGATGATGGCTGCTGGTATCCCGTGCAGTCGAACGACGGTGGCGATGAAGAGCCGAGCTGTCTCTTTGGCTGAGACTGCGAAATGCGCCATTTTTGTGAGTCGATCGACAACGACCAGGATCGCGTCGCTCCCACTCGCCCCAGCCGGTAACCGCGTGAAAAAGTCCATCGTCACCTACTGCCAAGCACGCTCTGGGGGCGGTATCGGCTGCAACTGTCCTGCTAGTCGTTTCCGTGATGTTTTTATGATCTAGCAAGTGGGACACGAAGCCACGTGTCGCTGCACGTCGGTCAACATCTCTGGCCAGTAATAGTATCGCTGCAGCTGCTGCCGTGCTTTTTCTACTCCGAAATGGCCTGAGGTAACTCCGTCGTGTGCTTTCTGTAGCAGTAATTCCTGTAGTAACGTGTACCCTGGTACCCAGATGCGGTCAGTGCCAGATTTTACGTAATAAACTCCCTTTGCTGCTACGAAATGCGAATTTCCTCCTGTGAAGAATGGTCAGTTTGATAGCCGTGGGTAAATATTCCTGTCAGTAGTGGGCTGGTCTGGGCGAGTAGTATGGCGTGGATTTGGGCAGTGGGGTGGGTCAGTGCGTCAGCGATGTTCGGTGCCCCCTTTTTGTAGGTAACTGTGTAGTGGAAATTCGACTTGAGGAAATCGAGCCAGCGGATCTGTCGTGGGTTGAAGTGGGGCTGTGCGCGGAGGAACTGTAGTGATTTGTGGTCTGTCCGTACTGTCACGTCTGCACTGGTCAAGTAACAGCGCCACACTTTGAATGCGTGCATGATCGCGAGCATTTCGTGGTCGTGTGTCGGGTAATTTTTCTCGAGCGGATGCAGTTTTCGTGATTTGTATGCGATGGGCTGTAGGCCGTTGCCGAAATCCTGTAGCAGTACGGCTCCGATGGTGATATCGCTTGCGTCTGTAACCACTTCGAATGGGCGGTGTGGGTCGGCGATGCGTAGTACGGGCGGTGAACAGAACATTTTTCAGGGCAGAGAAGGCAGCATGCTCTTTCCCCCCCCACGTAAAAGCGGGCCCTTTTCGTAGCAGATCCGTCAGTGGGGTTGTTAACCTCGCCATGTCGGGGACGAACCGACGCACATAATTAACGAACCCTTAAAAAACTCTGCAGCTCCATGAAATTTGTAGGGGGGTGCCACGCTTTGACCGTGTCCAGCTTCGTTGGGTCGATCTCAACCCCAGCCTCCGAAATAATGTGCCCCTGAAACTCTAGCCTGTCCTGAAAAAACTCGCACTTGGAACCCTTGGTCAGTAGCCCACGAGATGAGTCCAGCAGGTTGGAGTTGAAAAATGAATGCTGTGCGGGAGCGTCTGTTGTTAATGTCTCCCGCATGGTCCGCGTCTACGTGGCCGTGAAGCTGCAGAGTAGCAGTTATGTTGGCTTCGTAGGTGAGTCCGACGTCATGGGTAGAGATGAAATATTGGAGTGCAATAGATTCTCCCCTTCAGGCCGCTTCAGGTATTGTGCGAGCTGGCTTGTGACGTAGGAAATATCCGGCCGGCACGTGACGGCGGCGAACAGGAGACACCCCAGGTGCTGTTGGTATAGCCGATGATTTTCGATGGAGAGCGGCGTGGTGTCGGGTTCATGATCAGGAGGAGGAGTGCGAAAAGTGGTGGTGAGGTTGATCGGGGCGATGGCGAATTTCTTCGCGAGAGCTTCCGCGTATTTGTCGGCAGAGAGGTGAATGGAGGTGGCGGACTGGGTGATGTTGAGACCCAGGAACTGTGTGACGTTGTGGTTGATTGTCACCTCGAGCATCTCCTTGATTTCTTCCTCGAATCGGTCGAGCAGCTCCGTGTCGTCGCCGATGTAGAGGAGGTCGTCGACGTAGGCGACAAGGAGGATGAATTTGCCACGCGACTACTTCCGGTACATCCAGAGGTTATGCGGCAGCTAAGTGAATCCGAGCTCCGTGAGAACGGTGTACAGGTACTGCTGCCACAGACGAGGTGCTTGTTTAATTCCATAAAGATATTTTTGGAGGAGGCAGACGGCACCGTCGCCTTCTTTGAAGGCGTGCGGCTGTTCGACGAAGATAATGGCGTCGACAGGTGCGTACAGGAATGCACTGCCGACATCAGCTCTTTCGTCAGCCGAAGCTGAGTTCATCGCCGCCAGCGCAGC